TCAAGCGGAAACCTGAACATCACTCTGACTCCCTCTCACTGTCCACAATGACTCAAACAAGCCCTAGCACTCAGTTCTCCTAAGTCTTTGGAGCACCGTCCTCCGTCCTCCCACCCCCATCCCGGCCCCAAACCACCGTTTATTCCTTTAGCCTTAACTCCAGCCTATACTTCACTGGTCTCTCACCTGGATTTCAGTGATCTCAGGTCTCTCAGCCTCTTAATCTAGTTTCTACCCCTTACCCCTTAGTCGAAGGGCCCTTATAAAACACTTATGTAGTCAGGACATTTCCAGAACCTTGCTATGGCTTTCTACTGCCTTTAGGATAAAAACTAACTTCACCGTTAGAGGAGTCTACAGAGAATCTTTAACTTCCTCCGTGCTCTGTATGTTCCAGCCATTCAAAACCTATTTGGAGGGGGTTGGAGCAGTAGCACAGCGGGTAGGGCGTTTGCTTTGCATGCAGCTGACCTAGGTTCGATTTCCAGCATCCCATATTGTACCCCGAGCACCGCCAGGAGTAATTCCTGTGTGCATGAACCAGGAGTAACTCCTGTGCATTGCTGGATGTGACCCAAAAAGCAAAAACAAAACAAACAAACAAACAAAACCTATTTGGAACTTTCTTTGTTCTTGCACCTCCCCCTTGCCCCATTCATTGGGAATCAATTCCAAATGGAATTGTTTCCTTCGAAACAACTGGAATTGTTTCATTCCAGTTGTTTGGCTCACTCCCACATCTCAGCTCCCTTACCACTATCTCAAGGAAGATTCAGTCTCAGATGTTTGTCAAACACCTGACCAATGGTAGAGACCATAAATTTCCAAATTTTTCTACTTCTCACAGCAAATAGCTTGTTTAATTATTGACTCTCTACCCTGCGATCACCAGACCGATGTGTCACCAGACCCTAGCCATTCCTGGAATAGAGTACTCAAGAATATTTGCAGAATGAAAGAATGAGTACTCATTGAACATCGACATAAATTTTATTTAATGTACACTCTCTTATTGGGGAGAAAAGGTATGGATCAGCCAACTTCATCATTGGAGGCCACTTAATTTTTGTTTTTGTGGTTTTTAGGTGGGGGAGGAGTGAATTCAGCAGTGCTCAGGGCTTACTTCTGGCTCTGTGCTCAGGGATCACTCTTAGTAGTGTTAGGGGGGCTTCTGGGGTGCTGAGAATTGAAACTAGGACAGTCATGTGCAAGACAAGTGCTTTACACACTGTGCTATTTCCCTAGTTTCCACATAATTTTGTCTCACTTGCACACAGACTCTAGTTGTTAAGAGGGGTCAGAAAACTGTATCTGGTGTTTATCATACAATTTGACAGGAGATACTTCTATCTTTTCATTTCCTAAGAGACACAGTGCTTTCCAGAGACACTGCCTGAAGAAACTATCATGAATGTTTATTTTGTATGTACTATTTGCCTTAGAGTAAAGCTCTTCTTCCCTTGGCAAAAGACCTAATAGTCTCACAAGACACTAGCCCAGAGCAACATCCCTTTGGAAGCATCTAGAATGGAACAAATTGGGTCTGAGGTTTTCCTTCTGTGTTCCTATGTCCTGCATTACCCTACTGCACACTCCTATTATTTAGCATGTATCACTGCATTGCAATAGGGGACTTTTCAGCATTTCATTGCCCTCCTCAGGGTCAAGGCAGTGCCTGACACAGAAAGAGACGCCAAGATTTATGTCCTGACTTCTCAGCTCCAACCGTTACAAGTTGGAAAACCTTGGATGACCTTAAGCGTTAGGTAACTTCCTTCATCAGATCCATTAATTCTAGTCTTCACACATATTATGAAAGTGGGAGAGCTGGTTTGGCTGTTAAACCTGTGTTCTTTTCACCGTATCACTGAGTTAAGTCACAGAATCCCTTTGAGACTATTTTTCTTGGGCTTGGGCTAGAACAATAGTACAGAGGGCAGAGCACTTGCCTTGCATGTGGTGGACCTGGATTCTATCCCTCGCATCCTATGTAGTCCCCTGAGCACTGCTAGGACTGATTCCTCAGTGCAGACCCTCAGCATTACAGGGTACAGCACAAACAAAACAAAACAAAACAAAAAAAAACCCCAAAAACCAAGACTGGTTTTCTTATCTCTGAGTGGGAGTGACAGTACAAGAAATATTAGATAAGATTTACTTGCTAATATATTGCACGTAGCACTGCACTGTCCTCCGGTTGTTCTTCCATATGCTCGAGTGGAACCAGTAACGTGTCCATTGTGAGATTTGTTGTTATTGTGTTTTGGCATATCGAATATGCCACGGATAGCTTGCCAGGCTTTGCCGTGCGGGAGAGATACTGTTGGTAGCCTGCTGGGCTCTCTGAGAGGGGTGGAGGAATCGAACCTGGGTCAGCTGGCCGCAGGCAAGGCAAATGCCCTACAGCTGTGCTATCACTCCAGCTAATATACAGGGGAAATATCTTATCAACAAACCTTGAATGCTCTCCTTTATAGATTATTTTAATAGTCCTCTAAAATTCTTGACAGCCAGATTTAGATTAATTCTCTCTGCAAAAGGTTTAAACTATTGAAACTGCTGATTAAGAATCATTATTTCTGTTCTCCTCAAAGTCAGTTCAGAAATGTCTTCAAATGAGTCAGAAAAGGTATTTCCAAAAGAAATATAAGGCATATTTTTCAAAAACCAAAATGCCATCCTATGGCCCTCAACGACTCATTGTGATTGGATCACTGTCACTGTCCTCCCATTGTTCATCAATTTGCTCAAGCGGGCCCAGTAACGTCTCCATTGGAGACTTTGTTGTTACTGTGTTTGGCATATCGAATACATCACGGGTAGCTTGCCAGGCTCTGCCGTGCGGGCGAGATACTCTTGGTAGCTTGCCGGGCTCTCCGAGAGGGGCACAGGAATCAAACTCGGGTCGGCCATGTTGGCTAGATGCAAGGCAAACGCCCTACCACTGTGCTATCGCTCCCTCCCAAAGCTGCGCGCTCAGTCGAAGAGGACGGCCTTCCCCGAATAGAGACTGACCGGTCTTTGGTCGAGGGTATACTAGTAGCTGCACTCCCCTGCTAGAACCTCCAAACAAGCTCTCAAGTTCTATTGTGATTGGAAAGAATGAAAAAAGTCAATTTTAGTAAAAGATAAAAAATTTCAAGGTGACATTAGCAATGGAAAATACAGGGTGGATATCTTGTTTCCCTAGTACTGAAAAAAAGGCACTAGAAATACAGAGCTGGATCACAGCAAGAAATAACACAAGCAAAGCCAGACAATTCAACACAATTTTTCAACCCACTCTCCACATTGTCTCACTAGTGTATTTAGATATGCACCATTGTTGGTTTTGCTAAGAAATTTTTTTTTACAAAGAGTACATTTTGCATAACTCACTGAAACTTGGGAAATAGTAAAATTATCTAAAATTTTATCAACATATAGGAATATATCTAGTTAGGAATATATCATATATATGTATACATATCAAATATATATGTAGTTGCCCCCAGACTGAATACAGAAAGGGCAACTTGTTTACAGTAAGTTGGAGAGTGTTGCCTCTAAAACAACTTGCATCATAGCCTAGGCTGTAACATTAGGGGAAAGGCTATTGCACAGCAGCGAGGGATCACAGGGTCAGCTCCCCAGCGGCTCCAGAGAGGCCCAGTCCCCTTCACTGGACAGTTGACAGGGCTGGCACTTGGAGAACCAACTTTGGGGCGGGAAGTTGGAATTTACACTTCATGCCTTTCTTAGCTCCCACGTTCCATCACCTGTTTTAGAGTTGTTCAGCCCCTTGCATGTGCTTGGAATATCCTGGTAGTATAGCTAAGTGACCTTATTCAACGACAATGTGAACAGTGAAACTTTGATAAGAGGTTTAAATTCAAAGCCTTGGCAAGAAATATGACAGCTCACAGTAGGAGGAAAATGCAAAGATCCACACTGGGGGAAAAAAAAAACCAGCTTACTAAATGCCTTTTTTTTTTTTTTCGGTAAAAAAAAAAAAACAACCAAAAACCCAAACTAGTGCACAGTTCTAGAAGGAGATTCAAAGTTCATTCACTGACCCTCGCCCTTCATGTGCTTTCTTCCTCCTCTTTTCAACCTCGGATTAAAGACACTGAAATAGGATGGGGAAAGGGAACAATCTGGAAGCTCCTGGTGGAAGAAAACTTCGAATAAAGGGGACGAGAAATCGAGAGTTTTAAAAGAGAGCCGCGATCACGAGGTGGAAGGGAGATAGGAGAAGGCGAATGACCGCAAGAACGGGGGGAGGGCTGGAAGAGAACGGACCAGAGAGCCGTAAAAGGCGAGACTCGAGAGGAAAGGGACGCAGAGCCAGCCGGGACGGTCCTGTGCGCTGGACCCCAAGGAGGCCAACACAACGTGAGAGATGGGACGAGGCCGCCCGGGTCTGCTGAGAACATCAGGATTGGGCCACGAAGGGGTCTACTCAGAGAGCGAACCGGGAGAACCCAATTCCTAGCTCCGCGATGCCTCGGCGCCACCCTCCTCACTCGCCTGCAGGATCCGGGACCGCATCGCAGCCGCAGACACGAGAGCCGCCATGGTTCTGCGCTCTTCCTCGCCTCCGGGCGACTCTCCTGCCCGAGATACCGCCGAAGCACGTCGGCTGCCAAGTCTCGCCCCTCCATCCTTTCTCACCTCGTCATTGGTGGGAAGGGGGCACACGATTGGTCCAAAGTGGCATCGCTCTCGGGCCCCTCCAGTCTAGCAAATTCTATTGGTCGAGGCAGGGAAGACGCCCCCAGACACGCGTGATCCTATTTTGAGCACACGGGGGGGGGGGGAGAGGAGAAAGACGCCCCCTAAACGAGAACTCCGATTGGCCACACGCCCCACCGCGGTCCCACCCCCCTCTCGGCGGAAGGTAAATAAGGCTACCAAGAATTCTGTGGTGGCTCCGCCCACTCCACATGCGTGGAGGGGCGTGGCCCGAGCCGGGGGCGGGGCTAAGAAAAGTTTGCCCTGTGGGGCGGGGAAACGAGAAGGCGGCGAGTTGGGGGACCGGGTTTCTCTTTGGGGGCGTGGCCCCTGCGCTCCGCTTTCCCGCCGACGGTTGGCCACGTCACGTGACATGGGCTGGAAGATGGCGTCTCCCACTGACGGTAAGAGCCGGCTTTGAGCTGCTTCTCTAGCGATCTCGCCTTCTTTTGCTCTCCTACGAACTTCCCCTCTTCATTGGCCCCCTCGGGCTTACGTTGTTTTCTTGGGATCCGTCTCCCTCCCTTTTCATTTCTTTTCTTTTTTTGGGGGGGGTGGTAGGGTGCGACTTGAGCTCGCCAAGGCTGCTCAGGGACTCTTGTAGGCTGGGTCCAGTCAGCCCGCGGTCTGCCAGGCGGGTGGAGCAGGGCACCCGGGAGGGACCCACTCGGGCCAAAGGGACGCGATCGTCCTGGCCCGCACTTAGTCCTCTTTGGGTGAATAAAACTAAAGGATCGAGTTGGAGATCTTTCTGAGCAAAAGGAAATTCCTTACTGTTATTTTATTTTTCCGGGAGCCGGGTTGAAGGATCGGTTCTTTTCGTCATGGCATCGGGATCGATTCTCTCAAACCCCAGCTAGGGTTGATATCCTGACCTCATCCCAGGACTGAAACGCAGGAGAAACATACTTCTCTGGTGTCTTCTCAGATAGGTACCCTTGGCCCCCCCAGAGAAGCAGGGACTTTCTGGACCTGTCAGAGACCAGAGGGGGGAAAAAAGACCGGAAGAGCAAAAAAAATTTTTTTTAATGATTTTTAACGTAGTTTTGCACATCTTTCAACTTGGGCTTCTGTTCTTTGTGTTGTTTCTTCCTCAGACTGACTGAATGGTCTGTTCCTGCTATATGTCATCCAAGATGCAAGTCATCTCAGCAATGTAGTGATTTTGCTTTAAAGAATTATGGGTCTTGCAGTCATTTCTAAAGTCACTTCAGGTTTTGCTTCTGCTATTCCCATCTATCTTGATTGATACATACTTTTTACCGAGATGTAGTTTCTCTCAAATAATCGTTTTCCAGTTTGGAAGGAATCTTGGAAGCTTAAATCAGAAATGAAAAAGTTGAGACCTGGAAAACTATTTTTGTGCCTGTTAGTATGAAAAGCATAATTCTATGTGTTTTGGGAGATGAAGATTAATCAAGCATTTAAAGAGTTTTGCATCTTTTTTTGGGGGGACGGGGGGAGTGACTCGGTGTAGAACAGGGCCACTCCAGCCCTACTCAGCCAGTCAGGCGGGGTGATTGAATGCTAGGGTGATTGAATGCTAGGACACAAGGATGCAGTGTTCAGGCCAACCAGGGCCACACCAGAATCTTGTGGAACTCCAGGGCTACATCCTGTGGTTCTCTAGGTCACGTGATGCCAGGGATAAAACTAGGGTTGGGTGTCTTTGCATGCATCTTGATCCCAGTGCTATTTTCCCATCCCATGGATTTTATTTTGGTGACACTCCAGGATTGATATTCAGGAGTGACCTCTGATGCTGCTCAGGGGACCATGTGTGCTGTCTGGGAACCACCTATGGTGGCAGCCAAAGCAGGTGCGTGTAAGGCAAGTGTCTTACCTCCTGTACTATCTGGCCCCTCGGGTATTATTTTAGATGTCTCCTAGAGAGGCATCTCCAGAATATAGTATCTGGCCTTATCCATTCCTGTTAATTTACTTTCTCAGTACCTTCATTGTGCTAGCAATGAATTCCAGCATCATTGTTCTGAAAAGGTTACTCCTTTCATACTGGATTATAAATCTCAGATCTGTTTGTTCATAGCTGAATTTCAGATTTAAGTCCCTCACAAGCAGTAAGCCTTCAATGGACATTTGTTGAAAGAATGATTATAGAGAGGTATGAATAATGTATTTCAGATTTAACTGAGTTATTTGCTCAAGCGGGCCCAGTAACGTCTCCATTTTGAGTCTTGTTACTGTGTTTGGCATACCGAATACGTCACGGGTAGCTTGCCAGGCTTTGCTGTGCAGGCGAGATACTCTTCGTAGCTTGCCGGGCTCTCTGAGAGGGGCAGAGGAATCGAACCCGGCTCGGCCGGGCTGGCTGCGTGCAAGGCAAATGCCCAACCACTGTGCTATCGCTGCAAATCAATGAAGAACGGGAGGACAGTAACAGTGACAGAACTGAGTCATATTTTTAGAAATGTATTCTCTCTTTTGATGATACTCTGACCAGGAATTGCACACATGCTTGGTTGTGACCACTGGAGGTGGCAGTCTTGAGTTGGGGCCATCTTTTAGTTGTGGTCAGTGTTTACATGCCTCTGGCTGAGGTGTGGCTAGGAAATCACTGCAGAGCTTGAGACAACAGACTGCAAGTCATAAATAGGAAAGCTGACAGGATTACATCCATCATGTGGGCAGCATCAGGGCTTGAAATGGCAGCTTCATTCTTACAAGACTAGTGCTGTAGCTACCAAGCCATCTCCTTACTGCTAAGTCCTGGAGTTTTTGTTTTTTGTTTGTTTGTTGTTATTTTGGTTTTAGGGCCACACTGCTCAGGGCTTATTTCTGGTTCTGGCTCTAGAATCACTCCTGGTGGTGCTTGGTGGATCACTAAACTATCGCTCCTGTTTTAGAGGCCAGACAGTGATGTTTGATGAGAGAATGATTATTTGTGTAACATAGCCTGTAAGTTTCAAAAGAAAGTGCTCACGGGGGCGTAGGGGGCACACAGGACTGAGCCTTCAGTGGCCGACAGCTGTCTCCCCAGGCCAGTCAACTGCGACAGATGGACAAAGGACCTGGGGAACAGCGAAACGGCCCCAGGCTGGTTGGTCATCAGTTTATTTCTCTCTCCTCCCCAGTGTAGTTCAATCTCTCCCCTTACAGCTCAAATGTAGTCTTTTTTTTTTAATTAATTTTTAAATTTTTAAATATTTTTTAACAAGTCACCATGAGCTGGTAGGAGGAGGCCTAGTCCCAATCCCGAGCGGGCTTGGAGATCTCAGTCACGGGGCCCGCATACCTGGCTTTTTCTGCTGGATTCCACTTGGGTGAGGCTCATTCGAGCGTGTAGAGGGTGGCCTTGAGCATGGTGATGGTTGGGTTCTGGAGGTTTTTGGCTGCCAGGGTTCTGCTTGGGGCAGGGAGGGAAACTCAACGCACCAGTCTCCAAGATGCCCCAGTGAAGACAGCCTGGCACAGGGTCAGGAAATTCTGCCTATAGTCGTAGTTTTGGTTGTAGTCCCAGTTATCATAGTTCCATCATCCTAGTCTCTTTGTAGACCTCAAAGTCCTCTTCTCTTCTACCCCTCACAGCATAGTTATGTAGAAATCATGAAGGGTGGGGGTACACATAGATGGGGTTGAATATCATAACAAACAGAGGTAAAGCCACTCCTTCAGGGAAGTTCTAGGGGATTAATTTAAGGACAAAATCTCATCAGAGGGTTCAGCACCCCAGATTATTTAGAAGATCTGCTCAAGGGCGGGATTCCATCCTGGTTGTATTGCTTCTCCTGTCCTCAGCAAGTAATCCATTTAAACAATCATAGTAAATTTACTTCTTATAATATTTCTAGTTTGGCACAGCAGATAGGGTGTTTGCCTTGCACGTGGCCGACCCGGCCAACCCAGGTTCGATTCCTCTGCCCCTCTCGGAGAGCCCGGCAAGCTACAAAGAGTATCTCGCCTGCACAGCAAAGCCTGGCAAGCTACGCGTGGTGTATTCGATATGCCAAACACAGTAACAAGTCTCACAGTGGAGACGTTACTGGGCCCGCTCGAGCAAATCAATGAACAACGCAAGGGCAGTGACAGCGACAATATTTCTAATAATTTCGTATGAAAACAGTAAGAGATATTTTAAGCTTAAAGGTTGGCTCTTCCTGGGGGCATCTCGCTGTATATTCCACACCACAGTCCTCAGGCCAGGTTTGTCTTTCCTAACCCCAGCAGGTTAGGAAAAAAGTTACTTCTTTTTGGTTCATGACAGAGTTAGTTTCATGACCATGCTTTTTAGCTTATTATACTTATTGCTCTTGGCTTGTCCCCTTTTAATGCCAGGCTAGCTAACAGCTTGCCCTGGTTCTATCCAGTCCCTACGTTGGGACCCTCCTTTTGGGGGGTGTTAGGAAGTAAGGGTAACTGAGGTTTAAGTCAGGTAAGTAGGATGGATGCCCAGGAGTAAAAATTATTTGGAGTCAATTAACTCTTATGTTACAAAAGCATAGCATCAGCTGTCTTCTTGTGTCTTGTGTGTATACAAAAAGTACATTGCTAAATAAACCATGCAAAGGACATAATGGAAAGAGAAAAGCAATATAGGATTATTAGTATTTGGTGGAATTGCGTGTGCCTCTCACAACAGGGGCACTTTTGTGAGAGTAACTCAATAAGTCCAAGCACCCTGCGGGAGGAGCAAGGACAACCCAATGTTATCCAACAATTACCTACTAAAAATAGTTATAGAATTCAAATTTAGCTCTTCAGGAGAGTGCTCCATGTTATTTTCTTTGAGACTGAAAGTCATAAAATAGAAATTAATGTATTTTGTATTTCCTTGAGTCAACTAGGTGTTCTTTTTTGTTTTGTTCTTAGGGACAGATCTGGAAGCATCTTTGCTAAGTTTTGAAAAGCTTGACCGTGCCTCACCAGACCTTTGGCCAGAACAATGTAAGTTTTGAGCTTCTTTATATTAGAATCCATATGTAGGAGTTCTTTGAGGAAAAAAATTACAGCGTGTGTGTGTATGTGTGTATTTGCATATGTATAGATTTTGGCCCAACCCAGAAGTGTTCAGGGCTTACTTCTGACTCTGACCTCAGGTGTCACTTCTGGTGGACCTGGGGGAACTTAGGGGGTGCCAGGGATTAAATTTGGGTCTGCTATATGCAAGATAATTTCCCTGCCCACTGTTCTATCTCTCCAGCCACCTGATGTATATTTTATAAAGTTATAGAGGTTTTTTTGTTTTCTTGTTTTGTCTTTTTGGGCCAGTGCTCAGGGTTACTCCTGGCTCTGTATTCAGTAACTACTATGGGTGGTGCTTAGGGGACTATATGGGATGCCAGGGATTGAACCCAGATCAGCCATCTACAAGGCCACTGCTTTACCATTACACAATTGCTCTGGTCCCAAAGTTATGACTTTCAATATGTTTATAGTATTTTTGTATGGTTTACAGTATCTTTAATATTTATGCTTTTGATATACACATTTGTTGCACCTCCACTACCACCCAGAGTACCAGGACTCCTGTACCCCTATTCTTTTTTTTTTTTTTAACACAGTTACAAAGTTGTTCATGATTTGGTTTCAATCTTATAATATTCTGACACTCGTCTCTTTACCATTGTACATTTCCTACCACCAGTGTACCCAGTTTCCTTCCTATGACCCCCCTAACCTAACCTCCTCCTGCCTCTATGGCAGGTACTTTATTCTCTCTCTCTCTCTTTCTCTCTCTCTCTTTCTCTCTGTCTTAGGTTACTTCTAGTCCATCTCTCCATCCCAGTTCCACCAATTAGTAACTTCAGATCTGTAATCAAAGTCCACTGGTTTCTCATCCAATACTGTCAATTCCCTTGCTTTGTTTCTTTGTATACCACATAGGAGTGAAATCATCTGGATTTCACCTTCTCCCTCCGACTTACTTTGCTGAACTAGATACCCTCTGGGGAAATTTTTGAACATTTAACTACAAGAATTATCAACTCTCTGAGTACAGAGCCAGGAATAAGTCTTGAGCATTGCCCAAACAAAACAAAGCATCACAGAACAATAACAAAAAGAATTAAAACTATTTTACTTTAAGGGAGTAGATATTGAATTTTGTAGTTCCGTCTTAAAAATAATGTCATTTTATTTGAGAGATTTTTCATTTTGCTGCCTCAGTTCGATTTAGATTTTCATTTCCCCCCCTCTCTTTGTGCCTGGTATCTTTTTTAGAACGTTCAGTATTATAGTTATTGATATGCTCTTTTACTTGTATATTGTAAACTTCGGTCTACAAGGCTTTTTTCTTATCATTTGACTCTGCTATGTGAGAGCACCAAAGTGTTGAATTAATCACGCTGTGTTTTTCCTATTTAGTACCAGGTGTTGCTGAGTTTGCAGCTTCCTTCAAAAGTGTAAGTAATATCTTATTTCCATTCTAAAGTTTATTTTTATTTATGTTACCTTTAGATAATTTTTGGTTTTGAGCCTTTTATGGTGGTGCTGAGGGCTTACTCCCATCTCTGAAATCAGAGGTCACTCTTGGAGGGGCTCAGAAGTCCATATGGGAACCGGATCCTGGTCAGCCACATGCCACAGAAGTGCCTTACTTACTCTGATATTGCTCTTGTCCTCTGTTATAGTATATTTAGTGTTTTGTTACTGATCACATTTCAAATATCTCTGATTTCTTTATTTTCATATATATATATATATATATATATATATATTTGGTCATGCCCAGCAGTGCTCAGAGGTCACTCCTAGCTCTGGACTCACTTAGGAATTACTCCTGGGAGTGCTCAGGGGACCATATAGGATGCCAGGGATCAAACCTGTATTGGCCACATGCAAGGCAAACGCCCAATCCACTGTACTATCACTCTGGCCCTATTTTCATATTATTAAAGCCTTTGATTAAACTTATAACTACATCCTTAGATATCTGTTCATATTGTCATTATATTAATTTCTTTTTGTGTTTGTTTCTTATTCTGGGGCCAGACCCAGCAATGACCAGGGGTTACTCTTGGCTCTGCTCTCAGGAATTACTCCTGGCAGTGCTTAGGGGACCATAAGGAATGCCAGGGATTTAACCTGGGTCAGCCACATGCTAGGCAAGTGCCTTACCCACTATACTATATCCCTGACCCCTTTTCATAGTAATTGATGGTAAAATTTTCCTGTCCAAATGATCTGTTTTGGCATTTTGACTTTCATTTATTTACCCCCTTTTCTCAGCTTGAAAGCTTTTTATTATTGTTGTTGTTTTTTTATTGTTGTTGTTGTTTGGGGCCACTCCTGGCTCTGCTCAGGGAATCATATCGGTTGCTAGATTGAAATGAGGTTGGCCTTATGCCAGGTAAGCACTTTACCCACTGTACTGTATCTCCGCCTAGGTTGAAAGCACTTAAGACAGGGAAGTCAAAATGTTTAATGGATATTAGTATTCTTTTTGACCTATGATTTAAATTTTTTTCTCTTTTATGTAGTGTCTTTTTTTCTTCCATTGGTTTTTGGGCTACAACCGGCTGTGCCCAGGGCTTTACTCCTGGCACTATGCTCAGGGTTCACTCCTAGCAAAGTTTGGGGCTTACTCCTGTCTCTGCATTCAGGAATCACTCCTGGTGGAACTCAGGGGTATCATATATGTTGCTGGGGATCAAACCCAGGTCATATGTGTGCAAGGCAGGCACCCTACCCACTATGCTGTCTCTCTGAGCCTGTGTGAGTCTTATAGCATTATGTATCCTTAGAAGGTTCTGCGAGCTCTCATTAATTCAACTGAAACCAAGGGAAGACATCCATTAGAGCCACAATTTCTCTACTTCCAGGCCAGCAGGGACCGCATTAGATGTTCTACATAACTTTTCTTACATATTCTCAGAACCCAGCATCTGATGATTGTGATAGTAACTGCTACTGTCATAGTGCTTACCATGTATCTTGCACTATTATAAATTCTTCACATATATTAATTTAATCCACACGAAGCTGTGTGAGGTCTAGGTACAGTTGTTACTCCTATTTTATGTGTAAGGAAATTGGCACAGAGAGGTTAACCAAGTGAGACAGGCTCTGAGTGATAGATTCAGGCATTGATTAATTAGGGCTTTCTGAGAATTGCCCAGAGGGTTCGGGGCCACTCCCAGTGATCCATGGCTTGGCTCTGCAGGCCAGCAGCAGTTGAATGCTTGGAACCAGTGGTACTGGCCAGGGGTGTTAATGATACCAAGCACGCATTCCGGCCCTTTGAGCTGTTTCCCTCGCCCCTGTGTTCATGCTCAGCATGACTGGAAGCATTTGAGCTTAACGTCTGAAACATAGACTGTCAGAGAAACTTGGAAACAAACCCACGTCCTACTGAGTGACAGAGCAGAAGTCAGTCTCAGGTCTGTTTGAGTTCCACACCCACGCTCTTTCCATTAAATGCTGCTATTGATGATTTGTATTAATAGAGCTCTCAAAGTTCCTTACTGTATATTTGCATTCTCTACTCACTATGGGAGTTAATGATATAAGTGAAATCTGAAGGACCCTCAGAGCCTGTGACTTTCAGCTTCCTGGGCGAATTTGTTGAGAGTATGACTTTGTAGTGTAGGCTTGCTCATTTTTAAAGAGCTAAGGTTAGTAGGAGAGCTGGCCTGTGTTCTTTTAGCATCTAGTAAGGCTAAAGCATGAAGCTTTGCAGGAAAGTGGAGATAGTGTCATCTACTTTTGTCATCTACTTGGATTTGGGTTCTGAATTTGCTAACTAGTTGTTTGTACCCTGAGAGGTTTACTAATTATTTATTTATTTATTTATTTATTTATTTTGCTTTTGGGCCATACCTAGCAATGCTCAGGGGGTTTTGAACCAGGAATTGTCCTGTCAGTGCATAGGGGCCACGTGGAATGCTGGGGATCAATTTGGGTCAAGCAACGTGCAAGGCAGTCAATTGCCTTACCTACTGTATTATTGCTGAAGCCCAAAGACTTCATTTATACATATTATTGTTTGTTTTTGTTTTCCAGCAGTGCTCAGGGCTTACTTCTAGCTCTGTACTTAAGAATCACTCCTGGTGGGCTCAGTGGACCATATAGGATGCTGGGAATCACACCCAGTTCCTGGAGTTGACCACATGCAAGGCCCTACCCACTGTACTGTCTGTCACCTCCTAACATTTTTGAGACACAGTTTCTTTTACATTGTTGCTATTGAACTAGTGCATTGGGTTCTTAGTGTAAAATGCCATAACATTTATAAAACAAGTTCTTGCAATGTCTAGGTTAATGTATAATAGCAGTCATTAGTAGATAAAGCTTTGTTTGTATATTTGGTTTTCTCACTTATGAGATTATGAGATCACCGGCACCCCATATGGTCCCCTGAGCTTGCCAGGAGTGATCTCTGAGTACAGAGCCAGGTGAGTGTAGTTCAAAAACCAAGACCAACCAAACAAAAACATATGTAAAAGTGATTTGGTACTGGAGAGATTGTTAGGGGTAAAGCACTTGCCTGCTCATAGCCGACTCCCATTCGATCTCCGGCACCTTAGTACCATCAGGAGTGATCCCTGAGCACAGACCCAGACCCAGGAGTAAGCCCTGAACACAATGGGTTTGGCTCAAAACTCTCTCATGCATGCACACGCATGTGGACGCACACATGCACACACACACACACACACACACATACACACACACACACACGTAACTCAGGTAAGTGCTTTTAAAAAAACTTTAAAAAAATTTTTTTAAAAAAATCTGAATAAATAGCTATACCTTCTTGCTGGAGTAATAGCATAGCAGGTAGGGCGTTTGCCTTGAATGCGGCTGACCTGGGTTCGATTCCTGCGTCTCTCTTGGAGAACCTGGCAAGCTAGCAAGAGTATCCTGTCTGCACGGCAGAGCCTGGCAAGCTCCCTGTGGCGTATTCGGTATGCCAAAAACAGTAACAACAAGTCTCACGATGCAGACGTTACTGGTGCCTGCTCGAGCAAATCAATGAACAACAGGACAGTGCTACAGTGCTACCTTCTCCCTAGAGGAATGAACATATTTGTATATCTTACTGAGTTTTGTTTTGGGTGTTCAGTGCCATCCCAGGACCCTAATCAAGAGCCGTTGGCACAGGGGTAAACATTTGAGCTAATCTTCTAGGGGAGATTTATTTTTATATTTGGTTTCAGTTTGGAGGCCACACACGTCAGTGCTCAGTGCTTACTCATGGCTCTATCTCAGGGATTATTCCTGGCAGTATTTGAGGGATCACGTGATCCTGGGGATCAAACCCCAGTCATCTACCTGCTAGGCAAGTGCTTTACCCACTGACCTATCTCTTTGGCCCCTCAAGTAATTCTTTTATGGTTATATGTATTTGTTATGTACAAAAGAGTTACAGTAGACAGGCCTACTTCTAAGATCATCTCCTGTGTCTTAACTTTATTTTTTATTAAAAATTTTTTAACTTGGTCTTATTTTAACAAGTTTTATATACAAAAGTTTAGATATGTAGTAAAGTTGTGACAATAGCAGTTTCCCCACATACACCTACTACACCACATCTAGTTTTCTCCATCAATTGTATCTTCCATTTTTATGGTATATTTGTTATAACCAATATCAACACACTATCTAAAGTCCATACATTCTTCGGTATCTTTGGTTTTTAACCTATTGTTCTACCAAGATTCTATTAAGGGAGATCTATTAGATTTAGCCACCATATCTCCTTAAATTCTTCATTGCTGTGTCTTAACTTTAAAGCCAAGCAGAATTTTTGTTTTGTTTTATTTTGTTTGGGGGGCCACATCTAGCGGTGCTCAGGGCTTACTTCTGGATCTGCACTCAGGGATCACTATAGCAGACTCAGAGCACCATATGGGATGCCAGGAAATGAACCTAGGTCAGCCATGTGTAAGGCAAGTACACATAAAGCAACCTGCTACTGTATTTCTCAGCCCCCCAGTATTATTTGACTACTTACTGGCTATATCTGAACCTGGTGAAATCTGGGTCTTTCACATTATAATTTGCCACTATCTCAAACAAAGTGCAGTCTGTGAAAGTAAATGACTTATATAAAGAAGGGTGAGTAGGGTCTCTTTCTACTTTGTATTTGAATGGATATATTCTTGTTTTCTCGATTTGCTCGAGCGGGCCCAGTAACGTCTCCATTGGAGACTTTGTTGTTACTGTGTTTGGCATATCGAATACTCTCGGTAGCTTGCCGGGCTCTCCGAGAGGGGCGGAGGAATCGAACTCGGGTCGGCCATGTTGGCCGCTTGTAAGGCGAACGCCCTACCCAGGGCTGGAGCGATAGCACAGCGGGTAGGGCGTTCGCCTTACAAGCGGCCAACATGGCCGACCCGAGTTCGATTCCTCCGCCCCTCTCCGAGAGCCCGGCAAGCTACCGAGAGTATTCGATATGCCAAACACAGTAACAACAAAGTCTCCAATGGAGACGTTACTGGGCCCGCTCGAGCAAATCGACGATCAACGGGAGGGCCTTTACCTTTACCTTATTCTTGTTTTCTGACAGCCTATTACTAGTTCTCCACCCAAATGGATGGCTGAAATAGAACGTGATGACATCGACATGTTGAAAGGTAAGGAGTATTGGTGACCTCTAACTTGACCCTGACATTTATATTCCTCCATAAACCACATTCTGATTTTTTTCTCACGCTTTTCCCTGTGTAAAATTCTTGCCAATTCAAGACTCACTCACAATGATTTCTTCTGCTCAATTAGTTTAATATTAATTTTTTTTGAAGCTTACAGTAGAAAAAACCCTCAAATTTTCTTTTTTCATTCTCATAAAGTTTCTGCTGAATGATATCAAAGATTAGGAATGGCTGTGTCTAAGACTCAGGTTAATTCAATTAAGATTTTATTAAAAAAGAGTTAAAATTTAAATTCTGATCTTTCAAGCCCACTATAACGCAAGTGCCTCATTTGGGATTTGTTACTGTCATATAAACTGACAACCTCTTTGTGGATTACGGTCTGTCATTTTTTTTTTTTAGCCCTTCAATTTCTCCCGTAAAGAATGCTATAAGTAGTGTATATTGTTGTTTGATAAATGACTTAAACTCAACCACAAAGTGGAAATTTAAATTAAAAACATTAATTTTCCTTGATTTTGCGCTACTTATTTATTAATTTTTATCATCCGTCAGGTGGTAAGATTCATGATAGTTGTGAAGTAATAGACTGAAATGAAGGTAAAAATCTGGTATTCTTAAGCTGTTTAAGCAGCTGAACAGATCAAGGAAGTCTTTGTATGCCAGATAGAAATAATGAGCAAGATATGATAAGTGGAAGAAAATAACACCTTTATTTGATTTCTGAAGTAATTCATTGTTCTCCAAGAGATGCTTAACTGTAGATGCCCTTCTCTAACCATGAAAGAAAATAAGTCTCAAGGGCATCTTTGGTTCATTGTTCTAATGTTTCAGACAGGCATTTTTATGATATCCTATCAGTATGTTTTTTTTTAAAGAAACTTAATCTTTTTTAATAAGGGACCATGGCGCTGTGATTTATGTGATTTGACCTTGGTCTTGAACCTAAAGGAGACTCTAGATACTATTTAAATGAACATGTGGGAAACCAAGTTTTTATATTATATGTACTTGTTTTTTTAGCTGATAAACATACATTTTACTCTTACTTTTTAATGTTATTAGTCTCTCAAAAGGTGCTTAGGAGATCGGGGGGGAGGGGGCCACTGGTGATTTTTGGCCAATTCCAATGATGGTTCAGTGCAAAGGCTTGAGGATGCAGTGCTGCTTGGCTTTTGTGGTGCCAGGTATACCCGGGCACCCTGATGGTGGCTGGAGCCTCCAGGTCATACCCAGCAGTGCTCGGGGGAGTGTGTAGTGCTGGGAATTGAATCCAGGTCACTGTACTAACTCCTGGCCCCATAAACTTAATATAAACATTTGTTACAGAAATTTCACTTGAGAAACAGATTTAGATTAATATTTAATCTTTGTTTTCTAAACTGAGAGAAGGAGGGGGGGTGGAGTATGTTTTGTTGCTCTTTTATTGTTAATTAAAATTACTGAGTTAATTAAAATTATGGCCAGGAACATAACTGTGGGAGTGTTCATGCTCTCATGTATGATGAGGCCTGGGTTTGATGTCTGGCACCACCACCTCCCCTCAAAAGGAAAAAATAGGAGAAGTAAAAAAAAAAAAAAAGAAATAATGAGGACTTAAGTGATGGAGACTATGTGTGTTTTGCAAGTCAGAGCTCTATCAGAGACTTTCTCAAATAAGGTTTTAGATTTTGTGTATTTGTGTAGAGGCAGTATCAACTCCATAAAAGGATCCTATGGCTAAAACACATAATTTGCTACTGCGTTTTCATTTAGTGGGTAAAAATTTGAAGCGTTTCACAGCAGTCAAAAAATAAGTAGTTTATGTATGTGTGTGGCGGGGGAAATGATTGAATTGTTAGTTCAAATCTCTACTTATTCAGTAGGAATTAAGCTTGAAAATTTGTGCAATACATTTTCCCAACTTATATGACTTGTTACTAGAAAAGAGAGGGAAGAAGTGGCATTGAAATAAATGATTTTGTTTCAGAACTCGGGAGTCTCACCACAGCTAATTTGATGGAGAAGGTACGAGGCCTACAGAACCTGGCTTATCAGCTGGGGCTGGATGAGTGTGAGTACCAGATCACATTTATTTAGGGTTGCACAGTGTATGTTTCCTGATGATTCCTAATTATGATTTGGGTGTTCTGGAGGTAAGTCAGCATTCTCTCTTGATAAGGTAGGATGCTGGAATAATTACTGAATTAGTATGCTAAGTAACATGTTCTTATTCTTTGTATAGTAAAAATGCATGAGAAACTCTTCTCAGTTTTAAGCCATACAGTGTCAAAGCAAACTAACTTAAGCAAAGTGGGACTTTATTATTCATAGAGATCAACAGTCCAGATACAGAAATTGCTTTTTTTTTTTTAAGTGGGAGTTGGGGAAGAGGGTTGGTTCACATCAGCAGTGCTCAGTGGTTACTGGGACTGTTCTCAGGAGTGACCCAGGAGTATTTGAGAAATCCTGTATTGTGCTGGGGATTCAGTGTGGAATTAGTGAGATGCAGCTGCCTAATCCTAGTAGTATCTCTCCAGTCCCAAAAATAGGAATAGCTTTTTTTTTGGGGGGGGGAGGGGAGTGTCCCACAACTGTCAATGCTCAGGGATTATTCCTGTCTCTGCACTCAGGAATTACTCCTGGTGCTTCTTGGGAGACCATGTGGAATGTCAAGAGTTGAACCCAGGTTGGTCATATGCAAAGCAAGCATCCTACCTGCTGTATGAAATAGAAATGGCTGTGCACCTGTCCAGATCCATGATGCTCCCCTCCACCCCAACCTTTTAAGCAGTACTCAGGGTTCTTAGAGCTATCTCAGCAAGACTTGACATGGGTGAGTGGGCCTGATGGCTCAGTGCTTGGCAGGGAGGGAGGCAGTGTGGTACTGGGAATTGACTGGAAATCAGGGCCTAGGTCACGGAAGGCATGAGCTTCCCTCCTGCATGATACCTCCCCGGCCTTTCTTGCTTGCTTGCTTTTTTGGGTCTACCAGAAGATGCTCAGGGGTTATTCCTGGCTCTGCACTCAGGAATCGTCTCTGGTGTTGTTCAGGGGACCATATAGGATGCCAGGGACTGAACTCAGGTCGGCTGCATGCAAGACAAATGTCCTCCTCGCTGTATTATTGTTCCAGACCATCTCCCTGACCTTTAGATTCATGACTCCTAATGATGTTATTGAGTATCCTTTATGTTTTGCTTCTGTTTTGCTTCTTATGGCTCTGACTATTCTGCAAAGTCTTGTTTTCTTTTCTTTCATTGGGGAAGTTTGCCGTAAGGAGACACATAAGACAGTTTATGTGTCTTTAAATCTTACACCACTAAAGGGAAGAACATGTGTGTTTTGATAGTTTCAAAAGAAAGATCCTTCCTCTGCCTGCTCCATGTGGGCTCACGTGCCAGTCTTAGAACCTGTCCCTGACAGGGAACATTCTGATGAAGCAGACTCTAGGCTCCTGGGGACTTACATGGAGTAATGGCTCCTCAGGCTGATACATGCTTTCCCTGCAGGAGGCCTGAGTTTCACCCCACACATAGCGCCAGGGGTGACTCCAAGCATCGCCATGCACAGCCTCATAACCTAAACAAAAACAAAGTCTCAGATCACATGAAATGGTTGGGGGTGATCTGGATCCTTAATGGAAGAGATACATAGGCTGGAACGATAGGATAGCGGGTAAGGTGTTTGCCTTGCACGCGGCTGACATGGCCGACCCTGGTTCGATTCCTTCACCCTTCTTGGAGAGCCTGGCAAGCTACCAAGAGTATCTCGCCCACACGGCAAAGCCTGGCAAGCTCCCCGTGACATATTCAATATGCCAAAAACAGTAACAAGTCTCACAATTTGTTGTGAGACATTACTGGTGCCCGCTCGAGCAAATCGTTGAACAGGAGGACAGTGTCAGTGACATAGTGTACCTAAAGCATTTTGCCCCCATGAGTAATTCTGTAAGACTTCTCATTTATTCTTATTCTTGGCTTTTTTATTTCTTTATTTGTGGAGCCCATACCTGATAGTGCTCCAGCAGTGCTCAGACCTGACCAGGATCACACACCTGGCAGTCCTCCAGGTGTGTGGCATGTACTCCACCACTTAGCAACATACTTGACCCTCTACTCGTCTTTTAGTTTATTACTTCTTTATAAACTGTCTCTTTTCCTCATGCAGTGTTCATTCTAAAGCTGGAAAAGAATTCTAGAATATTTTTATAGTTGGAAGAGACACTTAAGATTAAATATAGTAGGTAGGATTTTATTCTCAGTCATCCTATAGAGTCACAGATTTGAAAGACTGTTCTAGCTTATCATTTTTTTTTTTCTAGTTAATGCTGTGTAGAGCAATCCTAAAAAGTGTTTCATAGTGACTGGAGAGGTAGCGCAGCAGGTAGGGAGCATGCCTTGCTTAAGCATAACTTAAATACAATATAAACAGCATAAACACAACAGCAATTTCTGTTTGTTCATTTATATTATACCCAGCTATGCTTAGGGATCACCCCTGACTGTGCTTGGGGAACCATATGAGTCAAGTTGCTGAGAACAACAGACCACTTCGAGATAGGTTACTAGATGGTCTGCTACATTCACTCATTATTATCTAATGCCTCTCTGTGTACTGGTTGTTTATTTCTTGTGATTAAAGTTTATGTCTTGGCAGAATTACTAATTACCATGTATATCATGCACCTCCAGGGTATATAATGAAAAGATAAACCTGTGATTATTAAATTCTTGAATGTGCGGCTTGTGGAGTATACTACTTGTGCCTGCTTTTGGCTCTGGATAATAAATGCTGAATGATCATAATGGCTAACTTTTATCTCTGTCAATTTTTTTAATGAAATAAATTTTATGCTTGTTAAATTAAGATGTTATATTACCGAATGTATTTATCAACAACATTATATCTAGTTGGTTGTACTTGAGATTCTTATATTCCTTCTGATTTCTTTTTTTGACTTTGATTTTTTTCTTCTTTTTCCCCTCCTCTTCCCTCCCCTCTTGGGGTCATGGTACTTGTGGGGAGTCATGCATGCAGTTGTAGGGCTCACTGGCAGTTGTGCTCTTTTAGTTGTGCTTCCCAGAGGAAGCTCTGATGCTTACCTATATGCTCGCTGGAAGTCACACTACTGGCTGTGATGCACGCCCATCTTTCAATGTAGCGCCTGCTGGGGGTTGTACACTTTAGGTGCTTGTACTTGGCCTCTTTTTCTTTTTCTTTTTTTTTTTTTTATACAGTGAAGAATCTTCCCTCCCAGTATTTACTATGAAAACGTTTACAAGTACACCAAAGAAGAAAGACTAGAATATGGTGAATCTTTTTTTCTTAGACCAACTTTCCATAATTATGTTTTTTTTTTGCCGGCAGCACACCCACTGTGCTCAGGGCTTACTCCTGTGATCAGGGTTCACTCTTGACTGTGATTGGAGACCATTTGCCATGTTGGGGAGTAAATCAGGGTTGATTGTATGCAAAGCAAGCCCCTAAACCTCTGTACTATCCTTGTAGCTCTTAATTATTTAAAATCAAATCTCTGGGGGCTGGAGTGATAGCACAGCAGGTAGGGCATTTCCTTGCACGGGGCTGACACAGGTTCGATTCCCAGAGTCCCATATGGTACCCCGGGCACCACCAGGAGTAATTTCTGAGTGCAGAGCCAGGAGTAACCCCTGTGCATCCCCAGGTATGACCCAAAAAGAAAAAAAAATCTCTGACATCATGTTACCAAATAGCCTCATCTGTGTTTGCAAATGATAAGGAGACTGACTCTCTGAATTCAATCCCTCGAACTACATGATCTCCTGAGCACCAATGGCTGTGACTTGGTGGCCATCAGCTTTTGGGAGGTGATGAACCCAATTTCATCATCATACTTAGGAAATATAATTACTTAATATTGTTGTATAGCCAATCAGGATTCACATTTTCCCTGGGTTATTCATAGTTGACAATATTTTGGGTTGATTTGGATTTAAATAAATTTTGTATTCTATATTTGATACGGGTCTTTCTTTGATTGTTTTTGGGACACATCTGGCTGTGTTCAGAGTTTATTTTTGGCATGCTTGAGGTATTACATGCCAATTCCTAGCACCCCATATAGTCCCTCTTGCCCCAGTTTGACCCAGAAACCAAAACAAAACAAAAAACAAGACTATTTCATAAATGTTATTGTGTATATCCATCAGAAGGTACATTATGTCTCCTTGTTTTTGTGATTAAAGGTTAGTTAATAAAGGCAATGTTAACCTGTTCAATTATTCATTGTAAAATTCTTCATCAGTCTTACACCTAAAATTTTTTAAAAAATATTTTAAATTGAGGTACTATAATTTACAAATTTATTCATAGTACTGTGATTTTACAGACATTCATGATCAAATTCCAGGTGTACAATTTTCCAACACCAATCTCATTACCAGTATGAAGGACCACTCCTGACTGGGCTCCGGGACCATATGGAGTACAATTGAGACCAAACCCGGGCGGGCCATATGCAAGGGAAACACCTTAATCACTGGACTATCGCTCTGGCTCCTACACCTAGAATTTTATCAGGCTTTCATAACTACTTATATCCACCATTTTATTACAGGTTGCAAAATGGTAACATTCTAATTCAATTCTTTCACATCTTCTCTTTTTCCACGTTGTTTTCTTTGACATTATACAAGATAAACCCCCAGTTTGCTTGAGTTTTAAAAGGGCACTTCCTTTGCCCCACTTGAATGACCAATTAAGACATAAGTCTAATTGACAAAGTGAGAAGGGGGCATAACTCTCACTTTTTTTTTTTTTATAAATTTATTTATTGAATCACCGTGAGAGCAGTTACAAAGCTTTTGGGTTTAGGTCTCGGTCATACAATGATAAAACACCTCTCCCTTCACCAGTGCATATTTTCCACCACCAAAAACACCAGTATACCCCCTATCACACACCCTCCCCCTACCTGTGGGGCAGATGATTTCCTCATTACTCTCTCTCTACTTTGATTACATTCAGTATTTCAACATCTGACCCACCATTATTATTTGGGATTTTACCGCAACACTCAGATCTGCCGAAAAG